ACGTCTATGAATTGTATCTGTAGGAATATTTACAGTAAGTCGATGTATCTTTGAGACACAGTCGTAGTTTATTCACTTGTAAACTCAAATGGATTTACAACAGACTAAAATGTACTTGAAAATATTTTTTCCTCAAAGGCATTTTAATCGTATTTGCTTTGAACGAGTTCATATGCTAAACGCGAATTGCATAGAGATGGACAGTTATTTATACATATATTGACATACATATCTTCTTGCATTTTGTTTGCTATAGCAAGTTTATCCTTGCAAGTCTGAAAATGATGGAATATTATTTGATATCCATGAGTTGTGTGAAAAATAAGTAAAAGGGAAAAAAATACGTAAAATAAATGAGAATGAAAAAAATTTTATTAATTAGAATTTAAAATATTTAAATTAAAGGATTATTTAAATAAATTTGCTGTATTTATTTCTTAAGCTTGCAACTTAAAATACACTTCTTTAAGGCGTTATACTAAATCGTACTTTTTTTGACGTGTAAAACACTTTTCCTATAAAAACGTTTAGCTGTAGGCAAATGAATCTTTGATTTTTATTGCTTTTTTCCAGTATGAATGGCATCAATGACATCTTCGTTAATCTTTTGACACAATAACCATGTCATTTGCGCACTTGACATCAATTTTATTCTTTCATTTAAATGAAGTATTTTGTCATTTTTAGACACTGAAAATAGGCAAATAATAAAATAAAATTTAAATATATAAATTACACTGGTCTGCAGTGAAAACCTCCTTTAAAAGAAAAATATTATTGTTTTGCCCACATTTTAATATATTTAAAACATTTAACCCTTTCAGGGTCAAAAATAATTTATGTCTAGAAAAAAACTTGAAAACTTATATTTAAGATAATTTGAGTACGCTGAATCCGGGAAAAATAATATTTTTTGAATTTGAGTTTTCCCTAGTGAGTTATAGAAGATCAAAGTTAAATGTCGAATATATTCGACATTCGAAAAACAGTCTCCAAAAAGTACCAAAATTTTTTTTATAAATTTTTTTTTGTAAAATGTCTTCTTAAACTTCTTTCAATACAATACAATTTAAATCTGCATAGTCCGATCTCCTAAAATACAATTTTTTTGGCCATTTAATGAAGCTGTTTTTTAACGTTGTTAAAAAGCACTTTTTAAAAAGTAGTCATAAGTGACAATTTCTAAAAATCTGATTTTTAAATACTTTTAAAATACTGAAGATCTTTCAAAATCTCAATTATAAATATAATAAAGTCTTCATTTTCATCTAAAAGAAAAAAATTAAAACTAAAGTTAAATATTATACCCAAAATATGCTTAAAAACAGAGTCTATTGTAATGTCGAATATATTCGACAAAACCACGGAAAGGGTTAAGGTTGTAAACCTGCAAAAATTCAAGACCAAGTGTGGTTCCATCTGGAAATTTCTGAACATTCTTAAATACTTGTACAATGTACAAATATTGAAGGTGCATAATATTGCCACTGTTTTTACTTCTTTTAATGTGAAAACATCATGAATTTTGTGGTTATAATTTTGGTTTTCCATTTCCGGCCACTTTTCGCAACAATAATTCATAATGTTGTCTACTGTAAAGTTGTTTAATAAAGTTTAGAACTTAAACGGATATTAGAATAGACAATTGTACAAACAGTACAATTTAATAATGCTTTTATGGACTACTGAATTTATGACATATTCAAAAGTTAATTTGTTTAGTAATTTTTCGTCAAGGTGACAAGTTTGTCAAGGTTTTACTAATTAAAGCAACATTTTCAAAAGAACGATTGTATGAAATGTTTTGCTTTTTAATAAAATTGTTAAATAATTACAACAAATAATAAAATTTTTTATATATACATTGTAAGTAAAATTCGGACATTTGCGCCTAAAATTTATTTTCCAGGAAATGACTTTTTATAAATATAAAATAGTTGAGACTCCCTTAGAAAGTATATATAAATTTCGTCTTAAATATTGTTGTGTTTGACTCAAGTACAAGGCACATGTATCAGATACAAACTTCCAAGAGATCTAGTGCGATTGTTAATTTTTTATATGGAGTTTGACTTTCGTACTTTTTTATACATTCATACGTTTTCTATATACAAAGAAGTCTATGGATAAAAGAACTTGATCAGCTAGACTAAAGATTTTATCTGTAGTTATTTTACCCTGCCTAAGCACCTACCACATCTGGTGTAGGGTTATCATATCATCGTCGAGCAATAATTTTCTGTTTCCAAAATTTCTAAATTTTGTTCTGTTTACATGAAACAAATAAAAAGTTTTAATTTGTTTAATTTAAACAAATAATGACAAGAGGATAATACTGTATTTGATCAATGTGAATGAAAATTAAACATAATTCCACTTTACATACATACCTACCATTTCATTCATACTCAGAAAGCAAACAATAGAAGGGGGTCCTACAAATGTACAAATGTTTATTTATTTCTGAGCCATAAGTACCAATAAGGCGAGAAAAGGCTATATAAACATATACATTTATATACATATGTATGTAATTATGTAAATACATATATAAGTATGTACGTATGTATGTATTTGTTTCTGTTCTTGTATGCTCCACTTTTATGTATTTGTACGTTTATTTTGTTTGGCTGTTTGTTATGTACTTGAATAGTAATGAAGTATTTTCGCTTGAAAATTCACTTATTTTAGCTTTAAAGTGCCTCTTATATCCTTCATTAAGCAATAAGTTTATGTTGCTTATTTTCCCTAGATTTACTAGATCTACTGCATAAAATTTATAGATAATATTATATTTATACATACATACTGTAATACGTTAATATACTACATATAAACACACATGTTTATAAAACTATTTAAATTAGGGTATTTTTCTAATTTTTCTTGAATTTCGTAGAATACTAATCGGATTAATATGTTAATTGGCATATACAACAGCAAATAAATTTAAATATATTCTTCAACTGTTTAACAATTTTATTAAACAAATGGTCGGAAAAATAAATATGATCAATATCTTTCTGAATTTCAATAACTAGTCCAATAATTGTTTAGTTAATAAATAAATTTAGTGAGAACACTTGGAACCATTTTGCTAATTTGTTATAAGCTCTGGTTATTCCTATGGTCCCATAGACAACCATCAGTTACTTACAAAGTGATACACCTTTAAGACAGTTCAACAAATTCCCCGAATGACTGGGCCAGAGTGTTATGGATATTCTGTAACAATCTACCTATCGAGAATCTGATGTAGACAATCGGTGTATACTGTTCACGTCTCGTCCTAAAGAAGTGTATATGCAGTCTAGTCTTCCTTTGTTAGTACAGTTCACCCAATTCTGCAGGATTGTTCCATAACCGATACAATAATATTTCAGTGCACCTGACTCACTGCATCTATAAGCCGATTTAGCAAAAGTTCTTTCAATTAAGGACAAGTTCGTGAACAATAGATTAGAATACGTCTTTTTATCTCCTTGTACACTTAGAGCAAATTATAAGGTTAAAGATCTCATCTCTTTTCCAACGTCTAATTCAAAAATAGAAGACACATATCACCGCACTACAAGAGGATACGAGAGGTGATTGTCTCACCTAGCGGCTTGCCTCTAATCAAAACTTTACTTGTTCTACCCGAATCCAAACTGAAATGAATATCATTACACATAAGTATATTTCCCGCCCCTTCAGTGTCTCGGGCCCCGATTATGATCTACAGTCGTCTCATTTTGATGTTTGTAAAACCCAAAAATATTGGTCCTACACCCTTAAAGTATACCAATCGGCTCAGATCCACTTTCTGATTCAATTAAACTATGTCCGTCCATCTGTGTGTCTATCTAAACCTTGTGCGCACGCTACAATATTCAAGATAATTTGCCGATTTTGCACGATGTTGACCCAAGCACAAAGCCTATTGAAAATGGTTGAAATCGGTCTATTATTTCACTTTGACCCCATTCAACCGTACCCCTGAATAAGGCTTTTGAACTGATAATTATGTTAAATATTTTGGTATCATATTTATTAAAACGTATTACTCTCTATTAAAATGCTTTAATTTCAAGTTGAAACTTATAAGTAAAACTACTACAAAGTACTAAAGGGCCCTTCACACGGTCATACTTTACGTACGACAAGTCTAATGAAAAAGTAAAATGAAATTCCATCCGTATGACAAAAAAGAGAATGAAAGTCGTATGATTTATATTTTTTGTGTTTACACGATTGGTATAAAACAATAACAAAGTAAGATGGAACAGCTGTTTCATTTTTTTGTGTGTGTTTACATAAAAATACATCCCTGATCTAATGCGACTTGCTTGTTTTTTTAATCATTTCCAAAAATGAAGAGAGCTATACGACTGTCAAATTTTCCACCCGTATTTTCTCTCAATGTGTGATGGTTTCATTACATATTGCGTTTAGACGATCCCATCCGTTCTCTTCTACAAAAATTTTGACAGATCATATTACTTGTGTGCTCGTGTGAAGGGGGCTTAATTTCAGCTTTTCACTTTTTTCATGACACCAATTACTAAGTATTCCTTTGAAATAAAATGCAAAACATAATTTAAATGTTTGGAAACAAAACCAACAATTTATAAAAAGGAATTTATAAATTTAAAATTACAAATATCTTATCTAATTAAATGATAGGATTTAATCTTATTAAACGATTTACTTTCATGCTTGGATAAAGTACAACAATACTCTTACATAGCATTTTACATGCATCTGAACATTATTTAAATATTGTTATTAATTTCGATTATACAAAACATCCCAGCAAAAAACATGGCAATGACTTTCAATTGTATTAACTTACCTAGTAACATACTTTAACCCCTTACTTTGTAATGAAAGTTTTTGCAGGGATTAGATACCAAACTACACAAATGTTTGATGAAATAATAATTCAATTATTTAAAATTATTTAATGCTTAAATTAATGAATAAAAAAATGATGATTTTATCCTTTTATTTCTTTTTAGATTATACGAGAACGTTTGCCGGATTACCCAGAGCGAAATAGTATAGTTTGGAATACAGCACCAGGTGCTTTGCTGACGCTTCCAACATTTGGTGATAGTTCGAGGTATGAAAATCATTTATCATTTTTTTAATCTAAAAATGTATGTTTTTAAATGTTTAAAAAGTTCCACCGATTTTGTCAATGTACCTCAAGAAAAAATGGTCACAAACTATATGAGTACATTATAAAGATTAGAAAAACTTATGCAGCTTGTTTAATACATCTTTTGTGAAACCAGGAGGCCAATGTATTTTGGATCAAACTCCAATTCAACTCACCTTAAGCTATTTAAATGACCATTTGGAAGAAATAAAAATAAATACAGTTTTAAAGTGAGGTTAAGTTGTTAAATAAATTTATTATTTTCTTTTTTAATTTTAGATTTATGCCCTTCTTATTGGATGATATGAATTTGAGAACAAGAGACAATTATACAGCCGTGATATATGTTCAAATAGGTGCGCCCTTAGGTCCTAACAATGCACTTTATAAACTAGTCAAAACGATAACAAAGAGTCAATTTGTAGATAGAGTAAGTTTAATTCAATATATAACAATATTTAAATTTATCTGGAATGTTTCTTAAATTGTGTGTTTCTTTTAATAGATTATTGTTTTATGGGCGGCTGACCGCCCGATTCCATCAAAAAAACGTTGGCCTCCAACATACCATATACCATTCCATGTGATATCACTTGGCAGCTCATATCAAACAAAACCGGTTGTAGCTGCTGCTGCTGTTTCTGCTGCTAGAGGAGATGCAGTTAAAGTAGGAAACGATGGTGCCTTAAATGGTCGTTCAGCTTCCCAGCACAATAATAATAATAATAACAATAATGTTAATAATAATAATAATGCACAGAATTCACCTGATGGCGATACGCCAAATGACAACGACGCTGAAACGACCACTGAACGTCCCAGCATATCCCAACGATTTTATCCTTATGACGAAATACAAACTGATGCCGTACTATCATTGGATGAAGATGCCATATTAAATACGGATGAATTGGATTTTGCCTATACAGTGTGGCGTGATTTTCCCGATCGCATTGTAGGGTATCCTGCTCGTGCTCATTTCTGGGATGATTCCAAGGTTTGCCAGTTTTCTTTTAGAATGAATCAATTTTATTGTTTAATTTTATATTCGTTTATTTTAGAATGCTTGGGGTTACACATCAAAATGGACGAATTACTATTCCATTGTTTTAACTGGCGCAGCTTTTTATCATCGCTACTACAATTATTTATACACCAATTGGTTGTCGCTATTACTTCTGAAGACTGTGCAACAATCTTCCAATTGCGAAGACATCCTAATGAACTTTCTTGTATCGCATGTTACACGAAAGGCACCCATTAAAGTAACACAGCGCAAAGGTTATAAGGATCGTGAGACCGGTCGTTCACCCTGGAATGACCCTGATCATTTTATACAACGTCAAAGTTGTTTAAATACATTTGCAGCCGTTTTCGGGTGAGTTGTGTTTTTCTACAGACATATTTTGTGATAATAGTTGGACAGTAATACCATCAATGCTTTTCTTTCAAATATTTTTTACATAATATTTCCACAGATACCAAAATCGACTTAATAGTTTAAGAGTCTTATTCATAAACTTTTGTCAAAAGTAATTTTCACACAAAATTTCTTCTATAAACCTATGATAAATGTTTGTGAATATGACCCTTAGGACCTTTAATATATAATTCTTATTTTGTTTTCTTTCTTTAGTTTATATTTAAAATCTAATCTTATTGTATTTGTTCTTTTTACAGCTATATGCCACTTGTACGTTCCAACATGCGTTTAGATCCCATTTTATATCGCGATCCTGTATCAAATTTGCGTAAAAAATATCGACAAATCGAATTGGTCGGCAGCTAGCGTTCCATAAATAATAGCCTATAAATCTTCTATATAAATAATATCCAAATCCAAGATACGTTAAATAATTGAATAATAATAAGTTTATTAAATAATGTTAGTTAAAATATTAAATATTTTATTAGTTTTCTAAGCATAAAACAATAACAAACCAACAAAATGAAAACACAAATAATAAACAAAATAATTATAAAAAAATATAACATAAATTATAACAATAATAATTAAGCAAAGCGCGTCATAATGAAATAAAGGTGCCGTAGTAAATATTAAGAGGAAACCCCCTAAAAACATGCAACAAATTATAGAGAAATTAAAGACAAAAAAAAACGCTTAAGAAGAGATTCATTATTAAATGCCATATCTTAAAAGAATTAAAACAAACAAATAAATAAATAAATTATTATAAATAAACAATAACACTCACACAAACATACATATATGAAAATGCAAATAGAAAACAAATATTAAAATGATACAATGGATAATTTATTTAACAATAATAACATTTGCAATACTCTATACTACATACACACCTTCTGTCATCAGTTTCCCATTATTCGTATCATTGTTATTTTTATGTACATACACACATAAGAACACAAGGTCCACAAATGACACAATCAAACATACACAGAGACATACATACACACATTCTACTAAGTTCAAACAAAAAATAAAATAAACTTTATCATTTCTATATAAATTTCTATATAAATTATAAAATAAACTTTATCCTTTCTATATAAATTTTTATATTTCCCATACCTACCCACCACCTTAGATACACTTGCCGAAATGCAAAATTTTATTTAAACAAATTGTACTGTAATATATTTTTGAAAATATTTTAAGATAATGATTTTAAATTTTTAAGGAGTACGAATCAGATTAGTTTAAAAATTAGCTTCGAAAGTTGTTTTTGAGTACCCGATTAGTTAATTTTGTTTGCTGAATTAAACATGTTCAAGAAATGCCAAGATGTGATCAAATGATGGATAAATATAAATACAATTATGAAAATAAACAGTAAGGGCCAATCTTTAGGTGAAAGATTAGGGATTAAATTAAAATTAATCCTCGAAAGTTGTTTTTGAGTACTCAGTTAAATTTGTTTGCTAGTTTAAGCGCCCAATGGAAGTGATTTAAACTTGAGCAAGAAACGCAAAAGTGTAAACAGCTAATGCAAAAAATTCATAAAATTTTTATATAAATAAACATTCAAATGTTTGATTTATTGATTAGTATAAATTATGGAGTCTTCAAAATACTTTTTTTTTTTGTTTAAAATTTAAGTTTTCATTAATTTTCATATTAAATTTACAATTATCTTCTTCTTTTTTATAAAGCATGCATTGTTTTGATAACAAACAGTGACGTTTTCTGTTGTTTTGTATGCCAACACTTTCTTAAAATTTTCAATATGTTTCCACAGCTTACTTGTTCTTTTTTATAAAACATCCATTGTATTGATAGGGAGTAGTATCATTTTCAGTTGTTGTGTTTAAACCATATACCGGCGGATAGAGAGGCAGATAAAAAAAACCACCACTACACACACACTATTGGCATTTTTTCAATGAAATTGCACTGAAAAAAATATTTGGTTATTTTTAATTTTGAAGATTAAATTGCATTACTGTAAAATGCGAATATTTATAAACAAAATGTAATCAATGTACTTTAAAATGGTAATTTCTTCACATAGAAACAACATTTCTAATTAAAATGTACAAAAAAAGTATGAAACAAGATGAACTTATTTACTTTCATTGTTATGCATTCTAGAAAATTATTAAGGGTGTACGTTGTTTTTGTAAATTATGCTCTTGCTTTTGCAAGTTGTTTTTGTTTTTTCAAGTTGTGTTTGCAATTTCTTTAACAAAGCGACATCAACCTGCTTTGTTGAATGCTGCCAAGCAACTAAATAAAATATTTGTATTTTTGATGCTCTTGTTTAGAGGTTCGTATGCGATCGTGTTGTGTACATGTAATTTGCCGAAAATCTTCGTTGTCAGAACAATACTAGCGCCGACTTTAAACTAGTACTAAAAAAAAAAAAAAAACAGCAAAGATTAGATTAAATTTGTTTTTGGATTAACTAATCTGACTATTAATTGGCGTTAAATCTACAACTCGAAAACCTGCCCTAAATCATAAACCTAATGCAATTTGTTTTAAATTTGACAAATTTATTAAAAAAAATCCTAAGAGACGACATACAAAATTTCATAAACAGCAACCATAACATTGACTACATATTTTCTTCAACTGTTTTTAATAAAATTTTCCCGAGTGTATTGTGCAAGCTGTATACAACTTTAGTTGAATGTCATCATCATCAGTAGAATTTTCATAGTTTTTTTTATTGTTTTGCATCAAAGTTTAAAAGTACTTTTTGGTCCACCATCTTAAAAGATAAATATGTTTATATGAGTCTAAATATAAAGCAAAACAACAAAATCCAAAACTTATTCTTTTAAACGAAATTTTGCTCTAAATTAGCTCTTCACAACTAGTTAAGTTAGCTCAATTGGAAAATAATGTGTCCTTTTCCTTTTTTTATAATTCATCTCATTTTTGCACGAGATTAGCATAATAAGGGGAAAATATTCAACACTATTTCACATCTGAATTTAAGGTCATTTTAAAAGCAAATAAAAAAATATCTTAGAAAACTTTCTGAATCAGCTGTTGAAAAGCCATACTCGAAACAAATATAAACTCCATAGGAAACCTCCCAAAATAGACCAACTGGGGTATGTGATAATTTAAAAATAATCACAATTTACCAATCTAATATCAAAGTTAGTACTATATATGAAATCTACTAAATAAGGTCTACTAAAAAAACTTACCAAACTTTCAGAAATTACAGATTTAAATCTCCCTTTGATTGTTCAGACTTTGAACTTCTTCTCTAATTCTTCTACGACTTAACTCTATAAAAATTTGTGTTTTTTTACACCATAGGGTGTTCAAAATCTTGTCAACTACTAGTGCAAAGAAATTGGAAATTATTTAGTATGATTAAAAAAAATCATACTAAATATATCATTTAACTACTCATTCTCAAATATTTTCGAAGTACAACTTAAATAAAGTTGTAAGATACTTTCAATTATGTGTTTAAAAGTATGTTTTCATTAAAAATAGATTACAAAATTCTTTAAACTTATTGCATAACAAATTTCAAAATTGCAATTTTAATATTATGTACCAGAAGTTTAATAATAAAATATTTTGTTATTGCAATACTCTTTGCACTTTTTAGCATTAAATTAGGTATTTTATTTTCTGATACTAGTACCTACCATGTTTATATGTTGTTTTATTTTTATATCTACGTATGTTTGGATCTGTGTATGTATGATTTTATATTTGTTAGTCTCTATTGTAAATATTTACTTAAAATAGTAAGAAATAAATGTATAATTTTATTTTATAAAAAAATATTGTTACATAAGATTATATACAATGTGCTATTATAATATTACGAATATAAGAAAAAAAGAAAACAAAAGCATAAGCAGACTTTTATATTTAAATGTTATAATTTTTAATATTTTTTATAAAAAAAGAAATTGTTATTTTTAACTCCCTTTTTATGTGACTTTAGTTTTATTACTTACTATTATGATTCTAAATATCATTCATTCCATAAAAGATTTATTAAAAATGTAATTTTTGATCGAAACTAAGTCAATGGATTTATATCATATTCACTATGGAGTCATGTTATTTCAAAATTTATAAAAATAATGTTACTAAATTAAATAAATATATGTATTTGAAATAATAAAACAACTCAACTCCATAGGGAATATTAGTGTCGCACAAGAAATAAATCTAAAGACCTTGGTATATTCTTGGGCAATGTATCAGGGAATCAATGATATATACCTACATCCTGTTCTGTATTACGACTTAAATCAAAATGTTAGACATTGTCCAGAACATCACAATAATTTTTAACATTTTGTATTCTGTCTGAATACGAACAGCACTTATAAATACATATTTTACAATTATAAACAAATGTATGCAATTTTTATTTTTCTAAAAACACAATACACTATTATCTATACATAAAAATGTATAAATGTAATAAATATGCAGTCTGAGTTGCCATTTAATGCTTTAAAAGCAGATTTTCCTAATATAATAAAATAATAAAAAAAAAGAAAACAATATAAACAAAAAAAAGCAATCAACAACACTTACGCGTACATATTAAAGTTTATACATACATATATAGTTAATAATTATACCGTAAACCTTCCTGTACATGTGTAAATTTAATTATTTAATTATTATTTGATTTATACAACATGTTTAATGTATGTATGTCGTATGTAGATTTTTTTGTTTTTGGAAAATACATAAAAAAAGAACATGTCTGCGGACATTTTTTAAATAAATAATTTCATTGTTTTGTTTTATTAATACTTTTACACGATTATTTTGTGGTTTTATTATTATTTGTTTTGTAAATATGAAACCATTGGTCTGAATAAACATTTATGTAGTTTTAAATGTTTTTAATATTTTAACAATTAGTAATATTTTAAAAATTTGTAAAAAAAAAATGTCAAATTTAATTTTGGACTTTACTCAGTTACTTTTTAATGTTGTTTAGAATACTTTCTTATCATTTAAAGGAGTCATCTTTACTTTAGATTTTCATAGTTGAAATTTATCTGAAGCATGAGAGGAGAGTACTTAACTATGTACATATTTGGATTCGAAATAAAAAAAATTTTTGACATTCAAATTCAATCCTTTTTGTATTCCAATGGGGTTACGGAGTATCGCCTTTTTGAATGACCTTCATACAGAACATACAAGAGATATTCATGTAATATATTTATTATAAGTTCGTATAGATTAAATTGGAACGGATTTATAAAGACGCCATAACAAACGCAGGTCTCCATTTGAAACTCCCGATTGCGATCAAAATATATCTGTGGTAAAAAGGCAAAAGCACATAAATTGTATTTTTATACTTTTCAGTAGAACGTTTTAAAATTTTTAATTCCAATACAGTACTAAAGTAAAACACATTTAAAAAATTCGATATTTTCAAAAGTTCTGATCCGATCTTTATGAAAAATTGGCACAATATAGAGTTAAGTACGGAGATTTCAAAAAGTTATGTTTTTTACATAACTTGAGATATGTACTTTTTCATTTGTGCCACAGATATACTGTTGAAATTTGTTGAAATTTATCAAAAACATTTTCTTTTGTCTTTCTTGGAAGTACTGTAGTTATCGTTTAACGGACAGATTTTGATGTTATATTCTTTTTGAAAGAATATTAAAAATGTAAAATATTATTTTT